CGTTCTTACCACGTCCCTTTTGCAACCTGCACTACTGAGTGCTACCCCTTCTGCAGTGAAGGACTTAGCTACCTTCCTTACAGAAGGGGCACCATTTCGTAACAAAGCGTAGCAGTTCCGTTTACCTTCCGTACCTCTTTTCGAGATACTTGTTAAGGAGGCGTAGTTGCTTCACTTTGACGTTTTGATAGGATGAAGAGGTTTCAATAATGTTTTTCTAGCAATTAATTTCAGTCGTTCGCAATCCTTGTTGTGGTGAATTCGTTCACATTAGTCGTTCCATGGAATGTTGAAGAGGAAAAACAACGGCGGAACGTTTTATTCGGTCTAACGGTGTTGTCAGCATTTTGCAACATCCTCTTTACTATCGAGGTTGGTCTGCCGACAGCTCAGTCACGATGGACGACATAAAGTCGTTTCGCTCCAGGCGCTGAAGCGTACCAGGGGCAGGTGACAGCAACCGGTGGGAAAAGGCTGGCGTCGCGCCAGGTCTAGCCCCGTGGCACGCATCAGCGTCTGCAGCGAAAACGATCATAGCATGTCCGTCGCCTTACTATACTTGTTGCAGATTTTGCTTAAAGCTGTTGCTTTTACTGTACGAGGATTCTGGCAATCAAGGCGAAATCGCGGCGATTTCTTTATTACCATGCTTGGTCTCACGTGGATCGTCTTTCATTTCCTTTTCCAAGGTTTGTCCTCTACTCCTTCAGAATTCGTATGTTGTTGGCGTTAGTGTTCGGTTGTTTCAGACTTCATGTTGGTATTTTTAATTATTATTTTCAGTGCCTGCCTACATTGCCGGCGGTATCAATGAGTGGAAGAGGCTCACGTATACTTTTGGCTATATGGTGGTCATCCTTCGATTCTTCACCATCGCTGGTGAGTACCATGACATTTGAAGCCATGGTGCCAGCGATTTTGACGACTTTTAGGCCGAAAATCGACATTGAAAATGCTGATGTTGACGGTGTTGATGTCTATGGTCCGCTCGTTGTTCATTATTGCCGCAATGTTCCTTTTGGTGCTTTTCTATGCATATACCGGTGTAATCCTTTTCGGCATGGTCAAATATGGTCAAGCAGTCAGCAAGTGAGTTAGCAAATGTGACTCTGAAAGCTCCAGCTGTTTTCCTCTTCTGGCATTGTTCCTTTTGGAAAATATTTTTCTCTGAAGATACGGTCCGGGATCAGGTATATGTAGAAGTTGAAAATATGGCGTCGAGGGTAGTGTGGTCCGCGACAAACAACCTTGTACCGGTTTCGCGGCAAAAAATTGTAAGGGAGGGGCGCTATAGCGCAATATAGGTACAGTCCTCCCTTTTTTCGGTGACTCCGCCCCCAGATTCCGCCTCCAGACCGGCCTTTCAGTGAAAAACGAAGCTGCAGAACGAAAATGCATGAAAATCGTCAACTTGTGTGACTCGCCAATAGCAATTCTTATCTTGAAAACGACACCGGCTGTCCAATGAGGGCAGTAGTTGCTTGGGAATGGTAATGGGCACGTCAAACTGAACAAAACGGATTCTCTCTAGACATGTTGCCACGTTTCTTTTCCCGCTCCGATAACCAGAACTTTGTCGCTGTATGCGACCCTCTAATCACATCGGATGCGAAGATCTTTTGCCTTCAAAACCTTCGCTGCTGGCCCACATCTGATCACCAACTTTATCATACTTAAGAAGTTTCTGACAAGTTGAACGCCGAAGGCTCAAATATTCCCTCCATTTTTGTAGACATGTGAATTTCCGCAATGGTCGTGAGGCGTTGGTTGTTCTGTTCCGTTCTGTGACAGGAGAAGATTGAAAAATCATGCAGGGGGGGGGGGTGCTGGGGGGGGGGGGGGGGGTGGGGGGGGGGCGACGTATTGTGATAATGTCTGCGCACTCTTCTCTCCTTTTGTCCGCGGTTTCAAGTCGTTGATCTACGAAATTGAAGATTCCACTGAATTTAGTACCTCCAAGGGAGCTCCACCTTTGCGGACACGCTTTGACTCGTCTATCATAAGTTTTTTTTCTTCGAGTCCATTCCACGGCATTATAGCAATAGACTAATGAAGTGAGCTATGATGGTTCTAACATCGGGAAAACGGCCATAAACCGTCAAGAAACATTGAAACAGTAACTGGCCTCCCACAATTCAAGAATAACAATAGAGATTAAACCAAATATCACAGCTGATAGACGAGCAACGACATGGGGCCAAAAAAGTTCTTAGCGTTCTCCGCCCTTACTTGCTACGTGTGCCGAATGCTTAACTACTGAGACACTCGCGCCAACTATTTCGGTGCTATACATTATCGTCGTTCTACTGAACATTAACCTACACGCTCAACGTGCCTGTAGAAAATCTACCCGCGTAGATTAGATCACTAGCAAATGTGTTCTTCATCATCATCATGGAGAACTTTCTCTGTCACTCAACGAGAAATCCCTATCTTTCCTAATCTGACATCCGTAATTTCCAGCAGTTCGAACTATGATCGAGTGCCGATCAAAAGGTACACTTACTTCTAGCATTTAGCAAATCAATGTACAGTAAGGGGGGGGGGACCCTGAAGAGACAATGATTTGGACTAAGAGCAATCCGTTTTGCTTCAGCGTTCCATACCAACCCGTCGAGTCAAATTTCTTCTCCGCCTGCTCCGTGGAAGGCTTGAAGTTGATCCAAACAAGGATCGATTGCTCTTCAAGCATATGTGCTACGAGATGGAGCGTTTGCATAACGGCGAAGATGTCTCATTCCACGACGTGCTCAAGTGAGTTCTTTGAGAGGGCCTAAAGTTCCTTAGGTTATCTTCATCTTTGTGGAGTAGGTCGACCACTAACAAGTGCCACATGCGCGGTCCATGATCCAGTTTAGATCACTTTTTATTCAAATCTTTCAGAATTCAAAGAAAAAGTGTTCGACATCACCTTTCATTCTTGTCATTACAGTATGCTCTCGTATCGAAGTGTGGACATTAGGAAGAGTCTCCAGTTGGAAGAGCTGTTACAACGCGAAGAGCTGGAGTACCTTATTGAGGAAGAAGTCGCTAAGCAGACGATACGTGCATGGCTTGAGAGCTGTCTGCGAAGAATCAAGCAAAAGCAGCATGGGGTCAGTCATCATAGTCTCATGTGTGTTTTGGTTGTAATCAGACCAACGGGCCTACTTTAGGTGATATCCGAGAGTACGGTACCGACGTCATTGCCATTGCATCGGCTCAGCTGTTTTTTGCCACATGTTTCACATGCACCATCACAACACAATTTAGTCACGGCACATACGTCTTCGCCGCAGGCTGCGGTACGTTCTAGTCAGTTTCTAGAGTGCTTGGGAGGGGCGGAGGCAGAGAAGGTGGGGGGAGGGGGGAGTAGCGTTCAGCAACAACTCAGGCAAAACTCGTTCCTCTATGGGCGCCGGTATGATTGGACGGCTGACAGGTGGACGCGTCCACTAGCGACCCTTAGGATTCCACACATGGGTGGAGGTGTAGGACAGGTCCGTTGCATGGTAAGTGACGTGGTAACCTCTAAGCGTGGATTACAAGGAAATCTGGGTTTCATCATAGGTAATATTGTCCCAAGAAACGCCATTAGGGTTTGTTGCACGACAAAGGCACTCCATCAATCTCTTTGACCCTCTGGACCACCTGTCTTTGCTACATCAGTACCCAAAAATGGATAGAATTATAGTCAGTAATAGCAGTCAACTCTAAATGAGTGCATATTTTCAGCAGAACTTCGAACCGCTTGATTCACGGGAGAGCATTGAAGAAGAAAACGGAAGCAAGAAGAGACAACGAGCAAGAAGAAACTCGATTCCGGAGCTGGTCGGTGAGGCAAAAAAGTTCATGTTTGGCAGTCTTGCGAAACGGCTCGAGAAAGCAGCCGAAACCAAAACTGGTAAGGATCGCCGTGGGACACTCAAGCAAATCCAGGTGAGTTCGATTTATTCTAAAAGATGATGCTTTTAGTAAGGAATGTTTTGCAGATGCCAACATATGAGCTGCCAGATCTAGAAGAGAATCTCGACGAAGCGGGTGATTCTCCACAGGAACGGCGTCATTCCGTCGACACACCGTTGAGCAACAATCCCGGTATGGGTCAGAGACTATCAGAATGCTTCCAAAATTATTTTTTTGAACAAGTATTCGCAAGACATCTTAGAAAACTATAAGGCTATTTTATAAAAGTCGTTAAGCTGACCACGAGTGCTTAAGAGGCCGCCAAAGTGGCACAAAGGGTAGTACACTCGTCCCTATAGCGTGTGCTGCGGACTGAAGTCCCTTTGGAGTCGAGGTTTCTGCTCAGAACTCACCATCAGCATTTTTTCCTCTTTGATCCTCTTTTGGGCTCTACTGTGAAGGACATAGAACCCTGCTCTGTGTAGTAGTAATGTTGCCTTTCAAAGGTTGTCACTCCACTATTAGGTCGGAGCCTGAAAAGTCATTATACACTTGAGACCAGTCTCTCTCAACGACCAAGGCAATGCTCAAAGCAATGCC